TACTATGTTTTCCTGATTTCAAATTTTAAAACTGTATTTTCAGTTTATTTCATTTCTGCCAAACACTAACTATCAGGACTGAAATTTTCCAGAACTGCAAAGCTGTATACTTTTTAAGCTTTCAGCAAAGAAAGTCAGAGACATTCGAGAGCAGATCCAGGGAGGGGGGAGGAAGAAGTTATATTGGTTTGTCCCATTAAAAAAACCTGAGGTATTTTCTTCAAAATAGCTCCAACAAGACACCTGAAACATTATGTCGGGGTGCTCTCCTATGGGGAAAGACTGAGAGAGCTGGGACTGCTGAGCCTGAAGAAGGCAGCTCAGGAGAGATCTTATCAGTATGTACAAATTCTGAAGGGAGGGTGTAAAGAAGATGGATGAGATAGTCAACAGGGATTTTTGAAAGTCTAGGAGAAAGATTCAGTGGAAATGGCAAAGCGGAGGTGGAACTGGGTGAGCAGGAAGGGGATGACAGCAGAGGAGTTGAGAGTTTGAGAGTAACTAAACTCTCAAAGAGAGCTGGAACTGACTTTCTGGGCTCTGGGATGGCATAAGAGGGGTACTGACCAATAAATGGAAACTACACAGATAAAGAGAAAACCAGAAAAAAGAGCCTGAGATGAAATATATACCAAAGTAGAGAAATTGCACTTGGCCCCTAAGAGCAAAAATATCTTAAATTTAAGAACATCTTATAATTAAGACCATAAGCATCTTAATCAACTAAGAAGGATTGCTTGGGTTGGAAACCAAAATAAGGACAAATTTATCTTCACTAAGTGAATCATGATTACTAGTCATACAGTAGGAGATGTTGCACCACTCCTATTTTCATAAATTATCTAGAACACAGCAGCGAAAAAACTTTCCAACTGATGCAAAGTGTATCACTTTTCAAATGTGCATGAAGTTTCAAAGGGACGGTTGAACAGTTGTTCTGCCCATGTGCTCTGAGAAGAAACTAAGTATAGATGACAGGGAAAAGATTCTAGTTCGAAAGTTAATTCAAGTTTATTCAAAGAAACTACTGCAACATCTGTAAGGGAAACTTGTGAATACAACACTAACTTCGAGCTACAAAGATGGTGAAGGGCCCGGAGGAGAAGCCATATGAGGAGCAGCTGAGGACACTTGGTCTGCTCAGCCTGGAGAAGAGGAGATTGAGGTCAGACCCTATCCGGGTCTGCGGCTTCCTCACAAAGGGCAGCAGAGGAGCAGCAGCAACCTCTGCTCCCAGTGAGCAGTGACAAGACCCAGGGAACTGCTGGAGCTGTGCCAGGGGAGGGTTAGGGTGGATTTCAGGAAAAGGTTCTTCCCCCAGAGGGTGGTTGGGCACTGAACAGGTTCCCCAGTGCCATGGTCACGGCCCTAAGACTGACAGAGCTCAAGGTGCATTTGGACAATGCTCTCAGGGACAGGGTGGGATCGTTGGGGTGTCTGGTGCAGGGCCAGGAGTTGGACTGCATGATCCTTGTGGGTCCCCTCTCACTCAAGATACTCCATGATTCTAAACATCTGTTAAGGCCATTTGCAGTGGTCAGATACCATTAACAGATTATCAAAGCTAACTGACCACAGTACAAGGACAAGCGAAATACTGAAGACATAAAAGAGATCCCACTCCATTTTAAAATCAGCAGGAGGTAAACACTTACGGACATGGTATCACCTAAAAGCAACACACAGACGCAGAAGTATCCTGCTGAGTTGCTACCACCTCTTACTACAAAAAGCCACATCCAAAGTACTACATGGAAACACTACTGATGAGTGCTAGAAGCACACTGCCACAGAAAGTAACCTCTCTCCTTTAGCCCTCCAGTTCCCACAAGCCCATGAAATGCTTCCTGAATAAAACTGGTAATCACTTTAAGAGTTACAGCTAAATTCGGTCTGAAAGTATCACATTTAAGTAAAAAATGAAAAGGTTGACTTCAAAACAATCAACTGCTTGAAAACTTTTGCAAGCATTCCTTTTTATTGTCCTCCCCAAAATATTTGAAATATTAGTCTAATTCAGCTGGTTTTGTTTACTCACAAATTACTCAATATGTTTTCCTCTTATTTTTCCCACAGTTCCAATTATCTTTGTGTATTTAAAATAGCTGAAAGCAAGACATTAAAACCTAGGAATAAATACTTCTAAAAACTGGTTCAATATAAAGCGACCTTTACAATTTCTCACCAAATTATCTGTAGAGTGTAGAGCATGCAACTGGCCTTGGCACAAATAGGCTCTGCCAAGAAACTGGTTCACAGGAAATCTTGCTTTAAAATACATCTGTAGACAGTCACTGCTCATTTCTGGATATCCCATCTAAGACCCCAAAAAAAGCATTTTAATATTTAAAAAATGCAACAAACAATTAAGAACTGTTAGCTTTTAAAAATGCATGCCTAATCAAGGGGTAACATCCAGCTGCATACCAGCATGCAAGCAATATTACACAAAGATGCAGACTTGTACCGGCTGTGGTACAAGCCCATTAAAATTGACTAAAATTTGAAGGCATATTTTTGTCATTTTTTATGAAAAGATAGCTTCCTTATTTAACAAAACTCCTCACTCAGTCACATAACTGCTTACAGTATTCAAAAAATGTCTCTTTTTTAACACAATTATTAATAGACAAAATTCTTAACAGAATTTTTTTTTAAGTATGGATATTAGCTGACAGGATTTTGTATGGATGTCAATTTTCAGACCACAGAATTTGATTGGATTGCAGCCTGGGGAAAAAAAAAAAGATTCATAATTAGAATGGTGCAGAATCTTCCTTCTTTCGGCTGGTAGGGTCTGTTCACAGACACATTTCCTTCAGTCATAACCAAACTGCTAACTTCAAGTTTTCCATCACAAGAAAAAACAGGCATGGCAAACTATTTTATATATGCTATGGTATACCTGCCATATTTTGGCCCAATTGAAAACTTCACAAACCGCAGTTTGATGACTGACTATAAAAAAGTGATAATTCAGAGGCTGAGTTTTAAGGGAAAATGTATGTTTAAACAATTGCTCTCCAAAACCAGAAGAGCATAATACTTCCCTCAGGCATTTCTGGGATTGTTTTTGAGGCAGTAGCTTTAACAACTGTAAATACAGTACATCATATACATATTTTTATTCAATACAGACACATTGTCTAAATTACAAACCTGAAGTGCTTGTTCAGCACATAAAACATACAAGTCAGTGCTGAAGTTATCTGAGTCAAGTGCAGATTTTCCTTCACTGGCTGATTTGATCAAGTCATAAGCATCCTTCAAAGCCTGAACATCTGCAATATGTAAGGAATAAAGAATTTATTCTTCAAGGTGGATTGACTGACTTGATTGCATTCAAATGAGCTATGTGATATCCTGTCTTTCCTTCACAGAAATAAATTAAGAATATTTAAGAAAAATAATATCAAACACATGTTGTTCAAAGTCAGACATGATTCTAAGATGAAGCACTAATAAGTCTTTTGCTATTTAGAATCACTAACATTAGCACACTAGAAAGTTAATTACTTGGAATCCCTAGTTCACAATTCCATAAACTCAGCAGTTTGATTTCTGTTGGCACAAAAATCCTTAAAGCTGTTCTGTGGAGTGAACTTGACTGGACGAATACCAGATCTTCCAGAAAAAACACTACAGCACGCACTTCTTTGCATAGCCAAGCAGCATGCTTAAAGCATTCGGAGAAAGAACGCTTTCTCCACATACACAGTTTAATTACAAAACAAGTTAGGACCAAGCCGTTTAAAGCGTGACGTTTCCTTTATTTAAAGACGGGCACAAGGTGGCAGCCGCCGGCCGCCCGCTCACCTGGGCCGCGCTCTGCGGCGCGGAGCCGCTCCCTGACGGCGGGCTCCGCCATCGCAACCGCCCCAGGCTTCACCCCGCGGGAGCGGGGCCTTTCCGAGGAGCCCTTCCGAGCGCTGGCCCGGGCAGCCGAGGGGACTGCCTGTGAGCTGTGCCCGCCGGAGGGCCGCCCCCGGCCGCTCCAGCTCCCGGCTCCCACAACACACGAGTATCCCGGCAGCGCTCCCACAGAACACACACGAGTATCCCGGCAGCGCTCCCACAACACACGAGTATCCCGGCAGCGCTCCCACAGCAGGGGCGCGCACCTCCCGCCCCTCTGGCCTCGCCAGCCCCCGCGGCTCCGGCCCCAGGCGGGGAAGCTGAGGCCGGGTCCGCCCCGGTGCCGGTGCGGAACCACCGCGGAGGGCGCGGGCTCGGGCCCGTGGGTGACACCGGTAACGACTGGTGGCTTCCTGGGGATGGAAGCAGCGCAAAGAAATGCTCTCATCGGCAACTTTTGTAACGAGAATAGTACAGGTGTCAAAGGAACCATTGGTTTGCTCCATGTCCTTTTTTTATTATAATTACTTTCTGATTCTTTCGTGCATGGCTTGCAGACTCAAACACTTCATGTGTTACAAATTTGTCCTTCCCAGAGGGCTTTTCTGTAGTGTGTTTTTTTAACATGTAAGAGAGTACAAAAATGATTTTCCGTCGCATTTTCTCGTCTGTTGCTCCTTTCCTTCGGCTCTACGGTAAGGGAGCTTAGGGCCAACTTCACAGTCTGTACTGAGGGTGCTGTCCCATCTCATTACGTACCCTGGAGTTTATGTATGACTGTGGAGATAGACACACATTCCCTTCACTCCCAAGCTGCATACTAACGTAATGCCATGAATCCATGCTCCAAGGTGGGCTGACTGACGTGGTTGCTCAAACGAGCTGTGTGACAGCCTGTCTTCTATTTTTACTCCCCTAAAGCCCCGCGTCTGGGACAAGACGAGTGGCTGCGAGGGCTCCTCCCGCAGTAGGGCCCGGCCCGGCCCGGCCGCGCGTGCGCGGTGTCTCGGCGGGGCCGTGGCGCGGCGATGCGCGGGGCCGGGGCGCTGCTGGCCCTGCTGGCCCTGCTGCCCGTCCGCGCCCCCGCGGGCACGGCCCGCCGCTCCGGCCGCAGCAGGTGGGCAGGGGACGGGCACCCGCCGCTGAGGCGCCTCCCGGGACACCGGGCCCGGGCCCCGGCGGGAACTGCGGCTCAGCTGCCCGGGCTTCGCTGCGCTGAGGCCGCGGCCCCGGGGCACCGGCACCGCGCAGCGCTGGGCCGGGGGCTGCGAGAGGACACCCGGGGCCGGCACCGCGACGGCCCAGGAGGAGCGCGGCTCGGTTACTCCGCGATGAGGCCGCTGGCGGTGCGAACTGGGAGGTCCGGTCGTAGTGAAGGGAGCATTGTACGATGGGGAGACAGTCCAGCAAGTACAGACCGCGAGATTCCGTCAGTGAGGAGGATGCTTTCGGCTATTGCAGAGTAAAATCTGTCTTCGCAGATTGCACTTGGGATGAGAACCGAGAGCAGCTGTCATACATGGACACTGAAATTTTTACCACTTTTTCGTCCAGGGACTTTCAGAGGGATTTTTGAATATAGTAATAGAGAGGCTCCACAAAGTTACTGCAATGACAAGAGAGGCTTTCTGTAATTGATTATCAGTGCAGATTGTACAACAGCACATCTAAACTGATGAAAAGTAATACTGTGTTCTGTTGCTGGCATTAATATAAAATAGGAAATTTTGCAAGGATAGCCTATTTAACAGTTTACTGAGTGTGGGGGGCTTGTCTTTGCAGGTCTGTGAGTCAAGTGTGTGTGGAAAAGTCACTCATTTTCAGAAGTAACACCCCTTATCCTACAGACATCATTGCTGTCCCTGGTGGACACGATCTGTTCTGTGTGCAGCTGAATGACTGTAAGTAACCTTTCTTCATACATCATTCGTTCACAGATTGCCTCTGCTTAGGGAATCTTTTTTTTTTAAAACTGATACGTTATAATTGTTACTGATTATTTTGGCTGTTCCAGAGGGAGCATAATGAATCGGGGTCTGATCACCAAAGACAAGCACAAAGATGATTGCACTCCGTGTAAGGGCAGGGTTTCTGGCTAAGCACAAATCAGCCTTTATCAATTGCTTGTGTATCTGAGATACTTTACTCAGTTTGCTACACTTAGAGCAGCAAGTAAGGATGTTTGAAATATCCCACTGTTATCCTTTTCAGAAAGTGATTTTTCTGTATTTTGTATTCTTTATTATACGTGCTTATTTTAATCTTCTCATCTGGCAGTGATTTTTTTACTGGTAATCATATACTCTTTTAGGATATGCCATTAACACTCTTTTCCTCTTTTCCACATTGTATTTCATTTGACTGATTTGATGTCCAACTCTCTGGCATCTATTGCTGTTCAGTAGGGTCTCACATTTGAACACACCGTTTTCTCTTTTGAGTCATTTTCTGGGAGTTTTGACCCACAGTCCCAGCTACTTCTGACCTAAATCCATGAGCATTTTAGGTTGGGTGGGGCTCAGGAGGTTAGCAGGTACAACAACTAGTCAGAACAGGGTTAGTTTCATACTATCTAGTCCTGCTTCTCAGCTCTTTACAGATGCTGCCTGAATGTTGTGTGTACATTCAGAGCACAACTACAAGTGTTTTCTTTTTCAGTTTAATGATTATACCCTCAAGTGATTATTAAGCAAGGTACTCTGTGCACCTACTTTTGTGAACCTTGGAGGAGCTTAATATTGCTTTGGCTTTTATCTCCTTCAAAGGTTTACTTGACTGCTTGATTAATGCTGTATTCAAGAGCTTTTGTTTCTGCTTGCTCCACTGTTCCTCTGAGCATCTGCGCTGCCCTTAAACAGCAGAATTACACTGAAAGCTTGTTTGGTGGTTTTTTTAATGTATGTTTTTTTTCTCCAAACCTACTAGATTACTTAAATTCTTTTTGGTACTACTGTAACTGAGAATACTGACGCTTGTCCTGTTGTCGGTAGGATCTGTGGTCCTCGAACCTTGTAAGATGTTTTATTTGGATGTATTGACAAGTTTATTGTTCGAACAAACACATTGATGAGTCTGCATAGCACATCTTTAATAATTTGCCACTTTATAACAGTGTTTTAGCAACAATAATTTAATACATTACAGCATTGTAACCATAATATTGAATACCACTGGGTCAAGAGGGAATCACTGTGGAAGACCATTCAAAAGTCTGGTTTTTAGGATGCCTATTGTCTATTTATACTTACTTTTGAGTTTTACCAACGTTAATTATTTTGAATCCATTTAATGTTACTTTTAATGATCTCATAAATTGGTAGTGCTTTGTAATTAAATGTCATGTGTGTCTAATTTGGGTATCTCACAGAAATGACAGCACATGTTAGAATAGTTGTAAAGCAGTTTTCGTGCTTTCTGGAAAGTCACTTCGTGTATTAACATCTGTTAATCATGAACAGTACAAACTACTCAGGATGTCATCCTATTCCTAGACCATATTAGCCTGTTAGAAGTGTTAAGATGGGTTAATTAATATAAGGCACCATCTAGCTTATAATTACTGAAGCTGTTCCTTTTAAAAATGTTGGCACAATATTGACTTTTATCTTTTCTAGTAATTTGATATTGGCAGATTTCTTTTTTTTCTCTCCTTTCAAACTCTAGCAAAGCTGAACTATTTCCAACAGCCCCAGGATATCAAAGAATCTGATTTTATGAAGTTCTTAGAGAAGTATGGCAGACACTCTTTCATAGCACCATCACAAGTCCAGCCATCATTCTCTGCTTTTTACCGTGTGAGTTGAAATCATAATCAGTTTGTACATACACTTCTACTAAAGCTGTCTGATGAGATCTAATGAGAACAGATTGAAAGAGTCTTACTTTTGTACCTGTAATCCATATCATCACAGAATTGTAGCGTATCCTGAGTTGGAAGGGACCCACAAGGATCATCCAGTCCAACTCCTGGTCCCACCCAGTGCACCCAAACAATCCCACCCTGTCCCTGAGAGCGTTGTCCAAATGCTCCTTGAGCTCTGGGAGCCTTGGGGCTGTGACCACTGCCCTGGGGAGCCTCTTCAGTGCCTGACCACCCTCTGGGGGAAGAACCTTTTCTTGAGATCCAACCTAACCCTGCCCTGGCACAGCTCCAGCAGTTCCCTGGATCTTGTCACTGCTCACAGGGAGCAGAGATTGGTGCTGCCCTTCTGCTGCTCTTTGTCAGGAAGCTGGAGACCCCGATGAGGTCTGACCTCAGTCTCCTCCAGGCTGAGCAGACCAAGTGCCCTCAGCTGCTCCTTATATGGTTTCCCTTCCAGGCCTTCACCATCTTCATTGCCCTCCTTTGGATGCTCTCCAGTAGCTTTAGATCTTATGATGTGGTGCCCAAAACTGCCCTCAGGGCTCCAGGTGAGGCCACCCCAGAGCAGAGCAGGACAATTCCCTCCCTCAACCAGCTGATGATGCTGAGCCTGATGCACCCCAAGATAGAGGTGCTCTGGCTACCAGAGCACACTGTTAAAGTGTTTGTTTCTCAGTTCTTTTCATTCCTTGGTGTATAGAAAGTTCCTGATGAGATTTTTGTATTTAAAAGGTTGGACAACCTTTTAGACAAAGCTGAGTGTACACAAAGAAGAGGTATAGGTTTGTCTCTCTGCCCTGATGATGACATCACCTTGTGTTCCACAGTAATTGTGATTTCTCCAAACTGTCTTTTCAGGCTGGTGATCCAATCCTAATCTACTTTGATTCATCATCTGTACTGAGCACGCTTAGACAGCCAGTAAAAATGGGAGCCAGTGGACTTTGTGTTGATGGAAATCCTGCTGGTTAGTAAAGGGGGAGGAATATCTTAGGGTGATTTGCTTCTGTTTGATCTGTTGTCTCATGTCTGAACTCAGGCTTCCTGGACAGTAAAAGTACAAGCTGTACTCGGATTTTTGCCAATTTGAGCAAGAGCTGCATGACTGACCCTGCCCTTGACGCTGCCTCTTACTACCGGGATTTCACTGTGCTGAAGGTGCATGTCAGATGTCTTGCTTTTGTGCAAAATCATGGTTGCTTGACTTTGCATTGCTTTCCTCTGCAACTCCAGCTAACTGGAAAACTGAAGGTCATCTAGTGTGTCATCCCTGATCTCCCAGTTGTTGAGGCCTTCTTGCTGGGACACCTGCTAAAACTATTGTGATTGGTGATAATCCTTCAAACTACTTTCAAGTAAATTTCAGTTATTAGCAAATTATTAATGGGTTTAACAGGTGCTTCACTGATACTTCATAGTTTTAATGGTTTATATAGACTCTCTTGCATTTTAAACAGACTGTTTTTCAAAGTATTCCTTTCTGTTCCATCAGCTTGATCAAGTAGTGCATGTACTCAGTAAAGAATGAGGATTTGTTTTACACAATATGTTAGCTCTAAAATCATATGGAAGGCCACTTATCAATATTAGCTCTGTTTACAGTCATAGATTGAATTCCATATCAGTTTCTCCACTATTTATTTTGATTTAATTTCAAAGTAATGGATTTACTATTCTGCATTCATTGTGCTGGTCTTACTGAATGTTTATATGAAAATATCTCCTCTTGCCTTCTAGAGTTTCTCTGGTGTTCCATGAGAAAACAACATTGTAAATATGAACACCTTACTAAGGCTGATGACGCTGTTCCCCCTTATATTGGAAATGTAAATCAGCATAACTGTAGTAGAGAGTATTCTATTGATCAGATTTAACTCATGTTTTCAGGGCTTTCTTTGTCATTGTGGCCAAAATTCAGTTTTTCCTTAACTGGAAGCTAAAGTAATTACTTGATGGCAGAAGAAGGAGTTCCAGGAATGGATCAGAGATATGATACTTTCAAGTATCTGCATTTTGCAGGACATTAGCAAGGCCAAGATTAAATTTGTCTTCTGATGTTCTAAAATGCATTTTGTGGATTAAGTCTGTGATTTATAGATCACAAAATGATGACAAGTTTTACACATCTGGAATAAACCAAGTAATTTTGTCAGTATAATATGTAGGTTCTGTTTAGTGATGATTTCATGACTTTAGGCACTTGCAAACACAGAAATTTACTTGGGGGTTTTTTGGTGTTATATAATGGTTTGTTTATTTTTCCCAGGTCCCAGTTAGTGGCACCATTGTGCAGTCCATGAAGGTCAGTCTCTGTCTCCAATGAAAATAATTTCTACTTCTGAAATAAAACATACTTGAAATCTTAAGCATTCATAGTAATGTCCATAGGTTGGGAACTTGGGAGAATGGGAATGTGCTGTGCCTGAGACAAGTTTGGGGTTTTTTTTAACAAAAGTGTGACATTATAGAAAAAAACAGGGATATAAGGAAGGATGTACTTTTAAATGAATGGGCACAGATAGGGCTAAAAAAACAGGGATATAAGGAAGGATGTACTTTTAAATGAATGGGCACAGATAGGGCTAAAGTCAGGGAAGGAGCTTGTTTTCTTGGAAAAAAACTGGGCATCTGGAGCAGGGTAGTGTGCCCACAGATCACAGCTACAGCAAGAAGGTAAATCTGGCTTGGATGGAAAAGCAGTGGAAGAGAGTAAAGAATGCACACTCCTTTTAAACAATTAATAATTGTTCATGTGCTTCGTGTCTCCAGGTAAATGTCACTGCAGTTGCACCACCTGGAGCTCCCCACATGAGAGACAACACATGTACCAATGTGGTTTCTGAGGTACGTGAATCTCCTTTCCTTTGCGCAGCTTAACACAAAGTTATTGCCTTTCTCTGTCTCTGATTTTCCTCTGAATTGGACTTTCAGGTGATCTATGAGATAGAATACAGTGGCACGAGTGGGATTCAGAGTGTTTCTGTCCAGTTCAAAGTGAGCAACATCTCTGGGAACCTCGGATCCTCTCTGCAGCAGCACTTCACTTTGCACTTCTGGGTCAGTGCCCTCATCCTCCCTGGGCTTTTACCAAGCTTGTAGTCTGTCGTTTGTGACCGATTTTGATACAGATGAGATCTGAAAAGATTTGAGCAGTGTCACTGTGGTAGAGTAGTAACAGAACCCTGGGATGCAGATGGTAGTTGAAGGCAGGAGGGGATGCATTTCTGGTCTCAAGTAAACCATGCTAGTAGAAAAATTCAGGCTCAGTGCAAGCATGCAGTCCTGCATTGCACAAATTTCAAGGGGCTGATTGTTTTTATCTGATTATTTTTGCTATTGCTTTGGTTTGGGTGTTTTGGGGGTTTTATTGTTGGGGTGGAAGGGAAGAGGAGTCACCAGCATGGTCTTTTGAAGGAAAGGGTTGAAGCTATTGCTTTATCTGAGGTGTTCAGTGTTTGTGAGCAAAGTTGCTAAATTTATTCCAAGTACTCATTTAACTTTGCCTGCGCAGCAGGAAAGAGAGTTACTTTGGCGGGGGTGGAAATCTCGGAAATACTAATGTGTGTTAAGTTCACATAAATCTTGTCCCATAGAGGCAATGTAAAGTTGGGTAAGTGATGACCTCAGGGGTTGATAAGTGTGCAGTGCAACCTTGTTGAAGTTAGCCCCAGAGGCTCTCACCATAAAACAATTTAGAAGTGGAATGTGCCACTAAGAATCAGGGTCAAGGCAGGGTTTGTTCTGCAGTTCATCTGTAGAATTGCCCAGACTGATTTGTTCACTTCCTCAGACACAAATGCTGAGCAATAGGAATTCATTGTCCTGAGAGCTTTCCTGGTAGTATCCACATTTCAGGTACTGACACTTAGTTTTTTACCTCCTGGACTGCAAGTGAACTTTCCAGGTAAGAAAGAGACTTTGGAAACAAATCATGGGAGTTTTAGTAGTGCATAATATTCAGTCACTCAAAAAATGGCTTACATTTATATTTGATCTTCAGAGATTAATGGATCTCATTGATGCCAATATTTTCCCCTTCTTCTATTTCTTCCCTTTGCATCTTTGTAGACCAAGACCCTCTCTCATATGTTGCCCAGAAGTGGAAACCCTGGCTATATCACTGGAGCACCATTGCTGATTGCAAACAGTGGTGCCATGCAGCATGTATCCTTTTTCTGCTACCAGTTTTTATTTATCACTGGGTTTCTTGACTTCTGGTACTCCCTTATCTGGACTTTTGTAGTCCTCTGATAGGGAAAAGGAGGAGTGTGGGGTGAGTGGATTGTTAAATACAAGATGAGTGTTCAGTACTGTCTGTTTATGCTTTTATTTGGCTTCTTGACGTGCAGTCTGTCAGATGAGTATTTTACGGAGTGAAAGTGATGGAAGTTGCTCACAGTTCCTCAGACACACGGTACAGTTTGGAAGGAACATGAGAACAGGCTGCAACCTCAGGTAACAACACACTCTGCAGTTGTCCTTCCTGACACAGCTGGAAGGTGTGGACTCACTTAGCACTCTGCAGTGCTGTGGAGCCAGAGTCCTTCCCTGAGGTCTCTACAGATCTTTCATATCCTCCTAAGAGAACTTGGATATCAGAGAGATGGGGGACCACTAGAATAACCTGAACATTGTGAAGGCCTTCTGGGACATCATGAGGCTGTAGTCTGACAATACGTCTTGGACAAGACTAGAGTTTATATTTGAGGAGTGAATTACAAAGGAATCTTTAAAAGTGATTGTTTTGATGATTTGGATTGTTCTTTTGACAGGGCGGGTGTAGAACCACTGGTGTGATAAGATGGCTAAAGAGCTGTCAGTTTTCCTTATCATGCATTACCCTGCCATATTTTTCTCCCTTCTCATTGCAGAGACCATTCCATCTGTTTAATACCAATACTTCTTGACTCATTACAGGAGCAGAAGAAATACTCATTACAAAGGCAGGATGTTGATAGTGGGATTTTTGTCCTGGAGATCACTTTGTCAAAGCTGTTATTTTCTCATTTCCAGCCTATCCCCATTACTGGAAGAGAGTAACTGTAGTTACATCCAGCAGAAGTTATACAAGGCTTTTCAGGGGATGAACAGAGCAGAGGACCTTGCTATAACTGGCAGTGCTCATTCAACCCAGACAGAAGAGTGGACGACCATTCTGGTTCAGAACTGCAGTGTGCAGGTAATATGAATGCAAGAAGACCAGCTGTGAATATTTTTCCTTTCATATCTTTGTATTGCCTCAGGGAAGCGTGGGCATCTGGACTTTCTTTGTGTGATGATCCTCTGACTCTTAGGAGTCTTAATACCTGTAAGCAGTCGTGGTTCATACTGTTAGAGTACTTAGCAAAAGAAACCCCAACAAACCCTGACAGATTTCATATTTCTCGAATCCCGTTCCCGCTATCTAAGTGGGCCAAAAGGGTTTAATACTGAATCCAGTGTTGTATTACATAGTTTTCTGACAGCCTTCTAGAACTAATAGCACCTGGTTACTTGCTATTAATTTGATATTTCTGATTTTCCATTTTCTAGGAAATTTATATATCACCTAATAAGGTTAAAAGTTTGCAACCAAAGTGCTTATATATTAATAATTATTAATCTGTCAGGTGGCCTAATGGAATGCAAAATCCAAATGGTACAGCTGAGACAAATTCTGTTTGAAAGTGAGATGGATATAGCTCCAAAAGGGGTGGTTGACCTGACTAGAAGTTAGAGAGTTAGTGCTGAAGTGACCTATGCTATCCAAAATATTGGACTTGGACCATAATGGTCCTTTTTCACTTTTAAAATACTATATTAAGTTGATAGGAGTATATTTTATTTTCAGGCTGCGAATTGCACTTCCTGTTGCGTGGTTCCTGTGACCCTGGAGATACAGATACTGTGGACTAAAGTGGGCCTCCTGTCCAACCCACAAGCTCAAATACTGGGTGCACGGTACTTTTACCAGTGTCAACCCCTGAAGGTATGTAATTAAAACCCCTCCCTCACACACAGAGGTAATTAAATGGGATTTACAGGTTGCTTAAGAACCAAGGAATCAAATGGTCTTGAAACTAAGTTGAGATTCATTGAACTTTAGCAGTGGTCTGGCTGCAATGGCAAGAGTTGTTATTTAACAGCTCCATAGATGAAAAATTGTTTCGAGATCTGTTTAGTACTGTCCTCACACAGTAGCACAACTGGAAAAGGTACCTTCTTTCCAACTCCAAAGCACCTTCTGCCACTTAAGGACTCAAACTTTAAACTTATGCTCAGTATAAAGTTGTATTTCCAAAGATTCAGTTACTCCGTGTTTATCTGGTTGTCTCTTAAAGCCTTGATATGGAATTTGAGTTGATTTATGTTTCACGGACCCCACAGCATGCTGATAATCTGTGTAAGAAGACATTTCTGTTCCTCTAGAGGTTCTGAAATCACCAGGTAGCTGAGGAAGAGACTAATGCTGATGGCAGCAGATTTGAAGAATTAAAGGAGGAAGGCTGTAAGCCAGAAGGAGGCACTCAAGGCCAGGTTGGATGGAGCTCGGAAAAACCTGGTCTAGTTGAAGAGGTCCCTTCTCATTGCAGGGGACTTGGACTAGGTGACCTTTACAGGCCCCTTCCAACCCAAACTATTCTATGGTTCTGTGATGTCAGCAGGAGCTAACAGGGTCATAAAGGACAATGAATAGTCTTTTTCAAGCATGTTTCAGTGGATCCCATTTTGGTGCATTTTTTGTTTTTGACATCACATAGTCTTTTGGGCAGCTCATGTATTTCAAGGCTTATACTTCTCTGTAAGGAAGCTGAACATGAGCCAGCAGTGTGCCCAGGTGGCCAAGAAGGCCAGTGGCATCCTGGCCTGGATCAGGTACAGTGTGGCCAACAGGACCAGGGAAGTGATTCTGCCCCTGGACTCAGCGCTGGTGAGGCCACACCTTGAGTGCTGTGTCCAGTTCTGGGCCCCTCAGTTTAGGAAGGATATTGAGGTGGTGGAGCAGGTCCAGAGAAGAGCAACAAGGTTGGTGAAGGGACTGGAGCACAAGTCCTATGAGGAGAGGCTGAGGGAGCTGGGGCTGTTCAACCTGGAGGAGGCTCAGGGGAGACCTTATCACTCTCTACAACTGACAGGAGGTTGTAGCCAGGTGGGGGTTGGTCTCTTCTCCCAGGCAGCTATCAGCAAGACAAGAGGGGATGGTTTTAAGCTCTGCCAGGGGAGGTATAGGTTAGATATTAGGGAGAAATTCTTTCCAGAGAGGGTAATCAGGCATTGGAATGGGCTGCTCAGGGAAGTGGTGGATTCTCCATCCCTGAAGGTTTTTAAGATGTGACTGGATGTGACACTTAGTGCCATGGTCTGGTAACCATGGTGGTAGTGGATCAAGGGTTGGACTTGATGATCTCAGAGGTCCCTTCCAACACGGCTGGAAAAAAAAAAAGAAAAAAAAAGAGAAAAAAAGAAAAAAAAGTGAGAAATAAATTTATTGAAATAAATTTATTGTTTTATTGGGTCCCTGCTTTATTTTATTGACATTTTATTGAAAGGATTTCATCTTGTGGTTCTGTCTGTTTCTGGCAGAAAACACTTGTCCAAAGAGACAGGTGATCTTATCTTACATAAAGTTTATAATTTTATAAAAAATAAAGCTAGCTTTGCTTCTGTTCTTATTACTAGCTAGCTGATATGTCTGTCCTCTGAATAGAAGGCTTACTCTAGCAAAGCTTGAGTCACTGCTGCCACTTTGGAGATCTGTAGCATATGATGCACAGTAGCTACTGGTCTTTCCCGTGCCCTCAGTTTACCTGCGAAGTATCAATTTGGGGAAAGAGGGTTTACTCCACTGAAAACTTAGGACACTTAACTCCTACCATTATAAAGACATCTTGCTTGCCAGTCATCTGTGGTGGGTGTCCATTAGAAAATTGAGGGGCCATATATATTTTGCATTGTCTGCTAAACTGTGCTTTCCCTCTTGTTGCAGTTCCTGAGCGCACACACGGTACCTGTGACAACTGTCGTTACCTTCACTGACATGACAGACTGGCCAGAACCACCCCGGGGCCAGCCCCAAAGGCACTGGAAACTCCCATTTGACATCTTTTTCCCATTCAAGGTGGCACTGAATTTAGAAAGCAGTTACAGAGTTGATCTGGCTGGCTATTTTTTGTTTATTCTAATAATGTCTAGTATTCTCTGCTTTTGAAAATAGATAAGGCCTGTACTTAAAGTTCAGTAAGTGAATTGGTACATTCAGAATATGTTCCAGGAAGTTGTTGGATGAAAGTATATTTTTTAACAAAGGATTTATTTTTTATCTTAAATTCTTCAGATGATGGAAAAATCTGCCCCATACAATGCCAAGTACTCCAGTGGAATCAATAGGGGGCAAGAAAATCAGAGCCTACTGTTAATAAAATGTATTTGTTGCTTTTGTACATATACTGTGTGTAGCAACTTTGTTGCTCTCCCTCATTACAAACTTTAAAAAAGGGTGCAAAAATAAACTGAAAAACTTGTAATTAGTCAGGGTATCAAGAGACATAACACAAAGTAAACAAAACCAAACATGCAGATTTTGGGGTAACTTCGCGTATTTACCTTTGTGAGTGTTTGCATGGTTTATTAGCTGGGAAAGGATTTCATGCAAGTGTCTGCTGCTTCCAGGGATTCTGATTCTGGGGCAGCCCGTGCAGGCTGCGCTGAACACTTTGTGTTCCAGTGTTACATGGGGCTGCTGGTACCAGTACAGCAACAAGCTTGGATTTTTAGGTAGACGTGGCTTCTCAGCTGTGCCTTTGCAAAGCTTTTAGTGGAACACATCTGTAGTGTGTCCTGTGTCCTCTGATGCCTCTGATCTGTGGAATCCAGAAAATTTACAGGTGACAGTAACTGAAACTTCCCAAAAGTCAAATTGCCAAGTGTGTCAGGATATAGCTTGAATGAAAAGGATCTGGCATCCCTATTTTCTGCATTATTGAGATAAATCAGTTAAGTGTGACTACAGAGATACTGTTTATCTATGAGCTGCAAATACATAAAGTAAGAATGCATCACCTTATACTGCAATTCTCTGCCATACCTCAACCTCCAACATGTCGTATTTTCTAGCTCACGTTTGGCTCCTCTGACATTTTGTCTTTGCAAGAAATGGAGCTGGAAGGAGCCTTACCCATAACCTGTTCTAGCCTGAATTAAGGCCTGTACAAATTCTAGCCATGCCATAGCAATGGATGTGCATTTAGAATCTGCAGTTTCCTATGACAGTGTATTTTAGTGTTTGTCATGTTTTTTTCCCCACTGCCTGATCTTAAGTAGCCTCCTTTGCAATCCAGTATCAGGCACGGTATGTCGGTGGCACACACCAGGCAGGCTCGTGTGTCAGATGCACAGGATGGAGTGTTTGTACTCCGTGGGAAGGGCTGGGACAGCGCTGTGGAATGTCCCTGCTGCCAGCACTGTATCTGGAGCCACCTGTCCAGCGTGTCTTTTTTGGGGCAGTAGGTCTGGTTTTACTCTGTCCGAGTGAAGACGATCTTTACTAGATGATCTTTAAGGTCCCTTTCCAAGCCTGACCATCGATTCTTGGAAGATGCAATTTTGGGTTTCAAAGGAGGAGCAGCTACAGAGCCCGCGGGCGGGGCCGGAAGCGACGTGAGGCGGCGGCGGCTGAGGCTGAGGGGAGCCGGGCCGAGTAACACCGAGCCGGGCTGGGGAGAACCGGGCGGTGAGTAGAGCCGAGCAGAGCCGGGCGGGGCCGGGCCGAGCAGCCTCGGTGCTGCCCGTTCCCCTCCCGCGCGGGGCCCGTTCCCGGCCGAGGGATGCGAGGAGAGGAGGAGGGTCTCAGCCTTGGCGCTGCCGGGCGGCACCTTCACCCCCGCTCTCCCGGACCCCGCAGGCTCCCCGGAGCCGCTCAGACTCGCGGTCCCGGTCTGGCGGCGGTCCCGGGGCGGTGCTGCCGCGAGGAGTGACCGGGAAATCGCGGTTCGGTCCCCTGCGAGCACCAGACGAGCTGGTTGGAGCTGCACGGGCCTCCACCCCCTGGGGCCCTGTGAGAGCAGAGCTGCTGTTCTGGAGGTTTTCTTGCTGGTGGTCTCTTGTGGGTACTTACAAGATTTCTCCATGCCCAAAGAAAACATTTAAATTCACCTGACGCTTGCCTGACACCTCAGAGTCACTACCTAGGTTTTGACCTGACTTGGTGATAAGCCTGTGTTCTTCACATAGTGTTTCTTCACAGTAGACAGAACAGGATCAGATTAGAAGTTTTTTTAAGTAACCTGACAGCCCTCTGAAAAAAGTAATAAAACTGTAGATAAAGGAGACTTAATGAGCAAAGCTTACAAGGTTTACCAAAAGCCTTTGGCAACTCTGTACTGTGAAGTCAGGAAGAGTTTTATTTTCTTAAATGAATAATATCTCAAATATTTCCATAAATGCTTATGCCTGAGCTGACTCTCTACTCTAAAATTGACAGATACTTGAAAGTGTTTATTTTCTTTGTCTTCCCAGATTTGCTCGAGGACACTGAGAGAAGCAATTACAAAGGGTTAAAATAAAGTTTTCTTCTTCCCTGTTCTCTAGTAAAGTATTTATGTTTAGTGACTTCAGAAGGTACATACCTTTTCCATTTTTGTGTCAGTGAATACTTTTTGTTGTGTAAAATGCTTTACTGATTTTTGTGTTTGCTGTATTCCCTTGCTGTTCTAAGCTACTCTGTACTGGATTGTTATAAAAATCATGTTCAATAGCAAAGTGAGCATCTTTCAGGCTTAGCTTCAGTAATTTTTCAGCTGCTCTTGTTGCATGTTGTGTTAGTAGGAATATGAAAGCAATGCTATTTTTATGTTTTTCTGCAGCATCCAGGGAAAAAACCACCTGAGGATCACTGTGCGTGATACTCTGAAAAGTCAGCTGAAGATGTAGTGAAAGTCAAAAAGCAAATAGAATGGTAGAAATTATCACTTAAGGAATGAATGCAGAATAAAAAAATATATTATGCCACTATATAAATCCTTGCTTTGTCCAAATTTGAGCACTCTGTGCAGTTCTGTACAGCATATTTTATATGCTGTACTCTGGGCTAATTGGGGAGGTGGAGGAAGAGCAATGGAGATGTATATATGTTGTATATATGAAATAGCCTTGATATGAGGAAAGCTCTGAGGGCAGAGCTCACCGGTGTCTGCAGCTTCCTCTCAAGGGGCAGCTCCGACTCTGCTCCCTGTGAGCAGTGGTAGGGCCCGAGGGAACAGCTGGAGCTGTGACAGGGCAGGTTTAGGCTGAATCTCAGGAAAAGGTTCTTCCCCCAGAGGGTTCTGGGGCACTGAACAGGCTCCCCAGGGCAGTGGTCACGGTCCCAAGGCTTCCAGAGCTCAAGGAGCGTTTGGACAACGCTCTCAGGGACAGGGTGGGATTGTTCGGGTGTCCTGGACAGGGCCATGAGTTGGCCTAATGGTCCCTGTGGGTCCCTTCCAGCTCAGGAGATTCTAGGGTTCTAAATGATTCTATGATTATCTTAATTTAGAAGTGAATGCAAAGGGGATAACGTGAGGTATAGTGAAGACCAAAGCCAGCACTCTTGCCCTTGTGGAGGGGTTTGTGTTACAGTGGAGAAAAGAAAGGATATAAATGGCCTAAGGAGCTAAAGGCACTCTCACAAGTGTGGCTGCACAGCCCTTTCATCTGCTGTCTGCAGACATGTGAGAACAGGGCGAGTCCAGGTGAAGGAGGCTGTGGGAGATGGCTCAGCAGCTCGTGCCGTGGGTAGGGCTGTCTGGACTAGTCCGGGACCAGACAAAACGTCTGTTAACGCTGTAACGTGTAAAGCCCAGGATTTTGTGCTGCAACGTGGAACGGAGTTACATCATCTGCGGGACGGCGGGGGGGGCGGGGGCACGGCGGGGCCCGCGGATTGGCTGTGCTGGCACAGCGGGGCTCCCGGATTGGCTGCGGCGGGTGAGCGGGGCCCGCGGATTGGCTGCGGTGGCACAGAGGGGCGGGCCCGAGGCCGCGCGGCTCGCCCGTGCGCGGGCGCTGCTCCGGGAGAGCCGCGGCGGGAGGCGGCGGGTGCGGAGCGGGCGCGGCGCGGGGTGGGGCGGGGGGTCCGCGGAGGTCCCCGGGAGGTCCCCGGGAGGTCCCCGGGAGGTCCCCGGGATGTCCTCGGCCGCTGCGGTTCGCGGGCCCGAGCGCCCCGGGAGAGCCGCGCGGCCCCGAGGTTTCCTCCCCCCGGCAGGGACGCAGCCGAGGGGCCCGGCCCTGCCGCCGGTGCTGCTGCTGCTGTACAGCCCCGGTGTTGCTCCGGCCCCGGTTGACAGAGCCGGGCTGGCACAACGGAGCAGCACCGAGCTCCCGCGGGTGCGGCCCGGGGGCTCTCGGGAGGCCTCCGGGGCCGGGACACGGGGCGGCCCCGCCGGGATCCTTCTGGGCAGGAGGAGCCGCGTGGCACTCGCTGCTCTGAGCCGCCTCTTCCCTGTGCGTGGAACTGCTGCAGAACCCGGCGGAGCTGCTCGCGAGCTGCTCGAAACAACATTTATTTGAAGGATTCCTTTATTTTAGTCAGCTCTTCTGAACTGGGAAGAGTTCAGAAGGACCCTCTGGGAAGGTTTCTAGGGTTTAAGTTTACACGCAGAACCGCAGATGAGTTTTGGTTTTTTTTTTTTTTCCCCTTTGCAAAAGTTTTAGTTGGTAAGGTGATGAAGCGGTTTAAATAGCAAAAGCCTCTGCATGTCACAGAGGACTTATTTGTATTGTGGTAAAGACCACCTGGCAGTTGTGTGCATTTCCTTGGAACTTGATTTGACTCTACTTCGTTGCTTAAGTATAGTACAGAATAGCTCTTTCTGTCAGTTTGGTTTCCAGATTTTTTTCACTTGTGGAATGTCCTAACGCTGAGATGTTTGCCTTTATATATAAAACTGTGAGAAAAGTTTATTTAGTTTATTTTAATCAACTCACAGCAGATACTTATGGACATCTTACAGGTCTGCGGCCAACGGACTGAAAAAAGTGTTATAGATTGTTGGTGTTTAAGGCACCAGTTTTAGGATTTCAGATCTCTGATTGCTTTGGAAGGTGACTAAGTCTATGTACACTGATCTGGAACAGAATAAATGTACTGTGCTATTTAACAGCTGTTATGAAGATAAAAGTCTATGAAAACTAGCCAATAGTATTGCTTTCTATTAGCAACAATATGAGGACAACTTTCATCATTTAAGGAGATAATGGGAAAATGATATTTTTTAAAGGTCATGTTCAGAGGCTAGTTTGGAAGTAGTAGGGTTTTCTGGTGATGAAAAGAAAATTTAGGCTGATGCTAGGGGAAATACCTGAATAATGCATTTTGCATTTCTTTCTATTGCTCCCTCTAAGTAAAGCAGAAGTATTTTGTTATTTTTTGTATTCTATTTTTAATTATGTAACTTTTTTTAGTTTGTTACTGAAGACCAGAACCATTCCAGGTATGAAAATGGTGGAAATGTGAGTGGAATGGAAAATGAGGATTGAAATTAGCTTTAAGTCCTTGATTGAGCGAGAGGAGAGAAAGGAGTTGGACTGGCCTTTAAAGAAAGCTTGTGGCTTACAGCATACCTTGTGCTCTGTCTGTGCTTTCTGGCAGCATCATTTCCCGTTCACATATCTTTCATTTTCTTGTTGTCTGCTGCTGCTTTAAACCTTCTGTTTTCTTGTTAACTTGTTCTCCTTGCCTTTTCTCACAAGTTTCAAAAACATGCTTTTTTTCCTAGTCTTTTTCCTTCCAAAGATCCATGTATCTGACACTTCTCACCCTTCACTGTCTGCTCCCCTTCAGCAAAGGTGTCTCTGGCAAAGGGAAACTGGAGGCAGCCTCCCAGGACAGGGTTGCTCTTAGTTGCCAGCAGCCCTGTAGTCAGTGACGGTTCTCCCACTCAGGATACTTGTGGTGGAAGGGGTTCTGGGTAAAGGACCCGTTGTTTGCCAGCTCTGGTTGTCAGGACTTTGAGCATCCCTCTGAGACACAAGGAAGATCCTGTTGTCTGATAGTAGGTGTGAAGGTGAACTTCAGGGTGGAAGGCTGGAACAGCCAGACCACCTATGGATGGTGAGAATTGTGCAGCCCCAGAGGCAGACACGTGAGGTGCCTGGTAAGGGCTCAGAGGGGGAATGTCTAGTTAGGACTGTTTCCCAGCTCCTTGAAGAGCTTTTCCCTATTATGAGGAGAAAACTGAGTACTTGCTTGGTTTCATCTGCTCAGAGTCCTTTGCCTCATCCTGGCAGAGGTCTATATTGGCATTTCAGATGAAATGCAGAACTGGAGGGACATTGCAGATTAATATTGTTAAAATGGCATGCAGTGTCAGCTGTACTAGACTGGAGAACCATTATCTGCTGGTGGCTGCCTTGTCTAATGTAGAGCTGTAGATTTTTGTGAGGATTATAATGAGGGATAATGGCAATATGCTGATGCAGGATAATGTTCATGTACACATGTGCCAGAACTGGCAGTGCTATAATTGTCCTGGTGTTTGTAATAGCAGCCTTCCAATGCAGTTACTATAAGACCTCTGTGCCCTCTTTTCAATACCTTGCTTTATTCCAATGGTGCAGAGAAATGGATTGAAAGCAAGTAAAGGAAGCAAAATTTTGTAAAAGGGGAAGGGTAGGTTTCATGGCTTAAATATTGTCTGGGAGAACTGGATGCTTGTTAATCTCCTTTGGTTCCCTTGTGATAGTAGATGTATTACATCAACTGGAGCTGTCATAGGAAACTGCTGACTCTCTATCCCTTGTTTGCTGTGTACTTGCTGTAGTGAATTTTAGAACTAGAAGAATCCTGAGTGTTTACAGTTTCAGTCAAGGGAGACTAATGTCAAGTACCTTGGAAATTCATGTCCTTACTTGCAATCATGGATAACATCTTGTAATTTGATAGCACTCAAGGAAAAGTGAACGAGCATATTTCCTGTATTAAATAGGGCTGAGGTTCATGACAAGTGTAGGAGATGCTCTGTTGTGGGATGTGCAGAGAAGTCTGGATGATGCAACCTCTCTCTGTGTTTTGTTTTTTTTTTTCTTCCAGGCTTCTCTGTGGACAAAATTAGGACTTTTATCCATTGTAGGTACATTCAGTAATAGTGTTTTCCCTTCTTGGCGAACCATGTTTTTTTCTTTACCTTTATAATGATCTTCTGGCAGCAGGTAGAGAACAGGGGCCTTCAGTTCTTCTGTGCCACAGTCTGTAAGCAAATTCTGCAAAATGGAGAGGAGACACAAGGAAATGGTACTAAGACTGTACAGGACAAAGATGAGTTGGAGTGGGGGAGTGGGTGAAGAGAGAAATATAGATGGAAAGTCACTGATGTTTAACCAGTTTTCCCCCTTCCTCCCTTTTAACTTGCAGATATCCTTGATTTGCAGAAGGCATCTCAGAATGTTGTGTCAAGCTGCTCTGAGCCCTGTTGTCCGTTCCCCGGGATGGTGCTTTGTATTGTCTCCACGTGCTGTGGCAGCCATTCCCCGTTCATGTATGTATGAGAGACAGCACACCTTTCTAGTACTGCTGGTCACTGTGTCTGGGCACGTCTGTGCTCTTTGCTGTGGTGAAAGAAAATCATCTCATCAACATCATTCAGACTTAAAACCTCTGAAGTGAACTGCAGTTGAAGCTGTACTTCCTTAATGTTACTTGCTCCGTCAACTAAGTAGTATTCATCTGGATGTCTGAGTTTGTGATTTTTTTCATTCTGACATGCATTTCAAGCAAAAAAAAAAATCAGTTGTGAAAGTACTGCTACTGTAAAAGTTCTTTATTTCATCCTCATACATTCCTAGAAAACAAGATCTGATTATGTCTGCTCCCCCATCTGTCTTTCCAGCCCACAGATGTCTTGAGTAAAGCAAGGTGCAAAGTTGATATTTATTTGGAATAGATAAAAGTGGAAAGATGCTTGCAGGAAACCTGAGTGTAAATACATAGATGCCCTGTAAATATCTCTTCCCTGAAAATCTAACCTGAGAGAACCATTCAGTGT